GGTCTGCGTGAGATGTTACAAGCTCTGAGCCAGCTGCTCGTTGGTTGGCGTCTCGGGTGTACGAGCACGTTGAAGAGGTGGAGCCATGACGAAGCTTCTACAACAACAACACAGTTACGGTAGGCACAAGCAAACAACGCACCCTGACCTGGCGCTAACTAAAAGAACACTAAGCTAAGCAGAAACAACAAAGCAAACAGAACAAACGATAAACACCACACAGCTCACCACGCGTCCTAAAAGTCCTAAGTCCTAAACACTTAGATACTTAAGGTCACCTTAGGGTCTGAAACCACACTTAACTTCTTAAAAGTCCAGACTCTAACATCCTAGGCTCAAACCTAGGCTCTGATACCAACTGTAACGCCCTTGATTTTCACAACTTTTAAAAACAATTAAAGCTTAGTAAAGAGATAAAATCTACTCATTAAGACTTAAAGTAATGCGGAAGAAAAAAGGTAAAATACGGGAGATGTCATGCCACACCTAGACGGACAGATTTTCTTAAAATAAAAGTTTTTTTAGAAGAGGGTAAGAATTTCAAGGATTGGCTTAGAAGTTTTCTCGGAATACTTAGAAGAAATGGAATCTCTGAGTTCCAAACAAGCACCCAAACGACTTAGGCGCTAAGCTTAAACTAACTACTAGAACTCACTAACTCAGAATTTCCTTATTACTCCTCTTATTCTTATCGTTCTTACCACTTCTTCAATCTCAACACTTTGAACTTCTACGCTTTTTGCGTGAAAATTTTCTTTTAAAGTGTTTCACAAACACCTTTCTTCTTACTCAATAGTATCTTGCTATTCTTCTCTAGGGTTTGATACCCACAATTTAATCTAATACATATCATATCATCTCTTGCTTGAAGTGCTACGCACTTCCTTACTGATAATTTACCTTCCTCGCTCATCACTAGTACGATTCATGTATCAAGATCGAATTCTTATGAAACTGTCATTAAAGTGATCAGTTTCGCATTAATAACCCCAATCTTTATTATCTCATAATCTCGTCTTTCTTAACATGCATGATAACGCATCTTAGAGGTTGGTCACTCCACTGGTGCACTTAGTGTGGCGTAATTCAATCTTAGTTCTCTTTTACTATAGGTTAACCATGGTAACTTTCTTTCAATCTGAACCGATGTATCCTTTTATTATTTCCTTACTAATTTTATGAACATAACTTAACCAATTAACTCGCACTTTATCCCAAGATTCTTGATAATACAAACTATCATTCAGTTCACTCGTCAAGTGATTCATGATACTGTGTCATGCCTCCATTAACGTAAGGTCTTAACTATCCTTGCTACTTTACTAATCATTGCTTAACTCTTAATAGCTTTGTTTACTTTCTCTACTTCAAGAGAGTTCACACGTGACGTGCCACGATCATACTTCTTCAATACGCTTTAAATCTTTGTCCAGGTTAGTCAGCAGTGCTAACTTATAAGTCTCTTTTCTTGAATCATTTCCAACACTTCTTATAGTTCAATAAACTTCAACTTTGGTTTCTCCCTTATTACTAATCTTTACCACTTCTTTTCAAACGAAATTCTTGGCAATATTTTCTTTCTCCCTTTAACCAACGATGCATTCTTTCAAAATTCTTCTATGCAAAGTCTCATTCTTATTCAAAAAGTTCAACGATTGAACTAATCCTTTAGGTTTTCTTCTACCAGACTTAGTCTTTAATCATTCCATCATTCTATCATGAATTCGACTACCTCTTGTTTCATTCCCATTACTATAATTCTTCCTTAAGTTCTCAAATATCTTATCATCCATAAATCTACATTCTTTTACTTGTCCCTTCTTAATTACTTAATTTAATCCTTTTCTTCATATTTGTCTCTAGTTGCACAAAGATTCACTTCACTCGTTGGGGTTAGCTTAGATCTTTCAGTTGACACCACATGAATGACGATGTTGATTCCTTCTAGCAAAGGCTGCTACAGTTAACTCCAACCCGCGAGTAGAGTAGTCTTCTTAATCAAGTTCTTCGGTTGTCTAGATACACACGCTACTACTTAAACTTTTGCGTCATTAGATGTCAAAACCATTCTCTCTTCTTACTCAGGTTCTTAACAGACCCTAAACGAAACAGCTACTTATATACAAGATAGAAACTCGCCAAATAGGTGTACACCATCAGGGTGCAACAACCACAAAACTCACTTAGCAAATATACATCACCGCTCTTACACTTATCACATTAACAACTTTCACATAACTTTCAACTTTCAACTTTTTACTTTTCTTTTCTCAAAGGTAAGGCTCACAACAAGTAAAACACACAAACAAACATAAGTATAAACTGGTATACTTTTTACTTTTAACAACTTCACAAAGTTCTCTTTCATACTTTAACTTCTAACCTTCTTAGCTTTTCACTTTCAGCTTGAAAGTCTTCGTTTTTCTCTTTCAACTTCTCAATTTTAACTTCAAAAGATAAGCAAAAACATTTAAAGCACATTGATAAAGCACATAAGCAGTTAAGCAAACGTAAGGTAAACTCACAACCTCACCGCGTTCCCTAACAGATACTTAGAGCTTCTCTTAACTCTGATTCTTATACTCGTTTACTGGACTTAGAGTCTTTCTCACTTCGAATTTCATAACCTAGGGCTCTTTCCCAAATCTTATCCTTCTTAAGATTTACACTTAAGGTTTTCTTCTTAACTTGTCATTCCTTAAGACTTCAACTTAGAGGTCTTTTCTCAACTTGTCTTTCCTAGAACTTTCACTTAGAGTCTCTATACTCAATCTTAAGGGTCAAACTTCCTAAGTCTCCCGCGGTTCGTACTGCTATGATACCAACTTGTAACACCCCCTTTTTCTTAACCTGGATTATCAAACTAAACTTTTAAATATAAACTAAAGCAACGGAAATAAACTTAATTAACAACTTAAAAAGGAGTGTCACCACCGCAATCACCTTTCACAGTGATTGCACAGGCTAAGGGTAAAAACTAAGAACATTAAAGTAATACTAGTAACCGAAACTCTAGGAGAATAAAACCCCGGTGTCCAGAACCATCAAAAGGAAAGTCTACTACAACCATTAAAATAAGAGAGTTTAGACTACAAGCTATCTAGCTAAACTAGTCTAACTCGTGCTCTCGTTTCTACGAACTGGGCCCACCTAAAAGGGGTTAACAAACAACAAGTAGCAAACAAAACCCGTTAGCACGAAGCTAAGTATAACGCCACTCAATCCTGTAAAGTAATTACAGTATATTCTTTGGAAAACAAGGTTCCACATTCTTTGCTCAAACAAGTTTAAACACTTAACATACTTTGGCGTACCTTCTAGATGCTTGCAACCTAATACTCAAATAGGCATACTTAATCATAAACAACTCATCACATTCTCATCTTATGAACAATCTAATGCTTCTCAAATAATCAATATTCTCATGCTTTATCATATAAATCAAATATGCAACTCATGCCATCAGATACTACTCATGGAATCTAGTGCAAGACATATATATATATATATATATATATATATATATATATATATAAGCAATCTCGTGCTACTACTCATGCAATCTAGTGCAAGATATATAAATATGCAATCTCGTGCTACTACTCATGCAATCTAGTGCAAGACATATATATATAAGCAATCTCGTTCTACTACTCATGCAATCTAGTGCAAGATATATAAATAAGCAATCTCGTGCTACTACTCATGCAATCTAGTGCAAGATATATAAATAATCCTTCAAGCCCAAATAATATCTTATATAAACCATGATAATTTTTCAAAAGTTGAAGTTGCTCAAGTGGAAGGGATTGTAATTATTAATTAAGGAATTAGGGTTTCAAATCTAACTTTATATAATTTTCCAAAGCATAACACATCAAACTAAAGCTTAAAACAAATATTACTAGCCATGGGAATCAATCCCCAACCCTCCATCTCCCACATTGGTATGCTTACCAATGGCTACCACGAACCTTGGTGATATATCTTGTCTAGATCCGTTACTATGGTCCGTGAACACCCAGAACCATTCTATTCTACTGCCTCCCTATCCTCACTTCAACAAATAATCAATTCTCCCAAAATCACATAGCAAGATAACAACAAATCACTTACATTTCATCATTCTAAACACCCAAAATACATATATATATACACACTTGAACAACTAAATCACATAACTCAGGGCAAAATACTAGATTTGGGGAATCCATAGGTTATACCTTGAGCATCCTTGTTCTAGCCAAAACCATTTCTAAGCTCTTCTTCTTCACCCTTCATCTTCCTTCTCCAAACCAAAACATAGCAACAACTTCACCATTTTCACTCACAAGCACACAAACAAACCCACGTAAATACATCATCTTAACAACTAAATCTAGAGAATGGAATGGAGGAATAGAGGAGGAAGCTCACCAAATCTTAGACTAAGGCTTGGAGAAGAGGAGCTTTCAAGATAAAGATGATAGGGAGGTGTAGAGAGAGACACGAGAGAGATGAGGGTGCTGCAAATTTCTTTTAGAATGAATGGTGAAGCAAGGGAAAAAGCTATCTCTTATACTTAGGATTTGGGGGTAAAAATGTAAAGATATAATTTTAGGGTTCATTGACCAAGGGCTAGAATTCAAGATGTAAAACAGTTTGGGGTTAAAATGAATTTCCCAAAAATGATTCTTAGATAAACACTTGATTTAGGCTTCTCAAATTTCTTCCAGTTTCACTCAGATTGACTTTTGGGTCAAAAACTTGGTACGCACTATACCCGAAAATCTAGGATTTTAGATTTAAAATAAATCTCAGTGTTGAATTTACTTAAAAGTGGCTCAAAATAATTTATTCAAACACCGATTTCATCGCAAAAATTTTTATAGAGTGAAAAATGGCTATTTTGGAATTTCTTAAAACCAACTTTATAAAATTAAATTTTGGGTTGTCACACCCATTACGGGATTGAGTATGCTCCTCGACCCTCCGTCAAAGCCTAGGCCTTGGCGGACTTT